TGGATCCATAGCCATAATTAATCAAACAAATACAGTCTATAAAAAAACAAAAGGTGAATACAACAAACCGCAGTAGTCACTTACTAAATAAATGTTGTTGAATATGACGAACTTTACGATATGAAAATAAAATATAGAAGCTTCGAGAATAGAAAGAAGAAAAGTAATGATCGTTATAACATGGTCTAGGCTATGTATGGTCAGAAATGAAAGAATAAAAGAGAGAAAAATAAGATCTGCACGTAATGTCTAAATAAAAAAAGAGAAAACAACATCACACATATTATTGATGCGAATGATAGGAAACAATTCAATCGAGTCTTAATAAATTGATTGGACTATATTATTCTTTGGAACCCAGGTCCATCATTCAGGCCGTCTGAAACGACGTCTTAAAAGGCCTGAAACGGTGAAAAAACGGGGTAATTATTGCCCTAAACGATGAAAAACGATCACCGGTTTTCGCCGTTTTTTTACCGTTTTCCGTCAGCTCGGATTGAGGGCCGTTTTTCCCCGGAACGTAAACGGTGCCGTTTGAAGTCGTTTCCGATGAAAAACGGTAAGTGGTAAAAGGACAGTTTTTTCATCCTATCTCACCTTAATCTCGTCGTTTTCCATCGTTTGAAATGAAAGTCGTTTCCATCGTTTATCGTTTATTTTTTGCCAACATATAATATCTAATAACGTTATGAAATATTTATTTTCATCAGAAGAATCTACAGGAAAATAAAACCACGCAAAATAAAATACAACAATTACGCGGAACAACAACAAAAAGTCACACGAAAAACAATAGTATGTGACAAGAGTAAATAAGAAGTATTTTCTAGATGAGCAATTTCATATGAACGAAACAAGGTTTCGGAAAACATTTCAAATAAAAAAAAATATAACTCAAATATTAATTCTCATGACTAAATATTTTTATCAGCCATGCGTATAGGAATTATGAATATCTTGTGTAGCTGTAAACGATAATTCAGTAGTTGGAGTTGAACTTACTGTTGTTGCTCTTGGTTGTTGTGGTGATTGCTGTTGCTGTTCGTGTAATACTACTTTTTGCTTCCATTTTCTTGACCCTTGATCATATAAAAATCGACTTAATTTTACACGTAATGTATTGGTATAATAACGACGATAACCATCTTCTGATAGTCGATATTTGATACGTATTGCATCTAAAAGAAATTCAACAACGGTTTTTTTCAATGCAGAAAGGAGCAATATATGGAAAAGACAGATGACTTCTACTTTGAGTTAGCATCACGCCTACGTTTTCTGAGAATTCGATAGCGTAGTTGTTACTTGTAAAGACAGAGATGACAAAATGATACATGTAACATTTCCATTTACAACTTTATTAAACGATAGTTTGTTTAAAATATTTATAAGTGATTACTCAATCGACTTTTCCAACGGTTGCATCTTTTGTCAACTTACTATTCAAAATTCGAAAACGCTCTTCATCCAAAATTTTTTTCTGATACATGTATGCAGCTTGTGATGGCAAGATACTGGATCGTAATTCTTCTTCTGTAAATAAAATCCCCATAAGTTTTCTTCCATAATCACCAACATCTCGACCAGCAACTTTCAGTAAATTTTTACCATTCCATGACTATACGATAATAATTCAGAAAGATGAAATAAGAACTCAATCGCAAAGTATGCTTACAACTACATCGGGATAATTTTCTTTATCGTTTTCATCACGATATGATGATAATTGATCGTTTTTCTGAAGATGAAAACAAACCAAATAACAAAAATATTATCAAGTCCAAAAGGAAAAAACTACCGACAGATAATGATGGAATTGTTAGATAATCCACTTGTTTTCTCAACTTTGAAACTTCTTTTTTTAACGAACGCATTCCACTAGTCATTTCATCTTTGAACATAGATTCTAAATAAAAAAAAAAGGATAAACTTGTATTAGAAAACGTTGAATTCACAATATAACAAAACATGAATCAGCATTACCAATATTTGTATCTGAACAACAATTATTATCTTGCGTGGAACACGTTATACGTGAAGCATTATCTGTCATGTTAAATTAATACAAATTACAGATGAAAACTGTCGCTGAAAAAACTTAGTTCATTCATACCAGTAATTTTTTCTTGATAATGATGATGCACGTTTTTGTTAACATCACGATCACGACTAACAGTAATTTTTGATCGACTTCGATCATCATTTTGCAATGAACGATCTGTAACAGAAACAAAAAAAAATATATGAAAAAATAAATGTGAAAATAAAAATTCCAGATTTAAAAGTCCATACCACGATTGCAACGTTGATTTGATCGTGATGATAAGTTACCATTATTATATGAACGTTTCAAAGCAGCTAAATAAAAAGAGAAAGAAATATAACAATTGTTTAAATAAATAGTGATATTTGTTACGTGTACTAAAGCCATAGCTAAGTCGTTTCAAACGACTTGTTGATGATTGATTGACATGCAACGTGTCGTCACCATTATTATTGTCATTAATTTCATTGTCATCATTGTCGTCACTTCTGACGTCATCATCATCGTCATCACCTTCTTCTAACACAAATTAAAAAAAAATATTTTTACAGAGCTAATTTCAAAATTTGTTACCATCAATTTCGTTGTTTCCGCCTTCACCTTCCAATTCTTGCACCTTCTGTTTTAATTGTTTTCGACAATAATCCATAGTACCTAAAATATTTCAGAATTCATATCTCAAATTATACGGTACTTCATATCTTCAGATAGATAAAGTTTTACCTGATGTTATAATTTGTACTTCACCGGCGATGTTGGAAACGACAGCTTTATCATTGAACATTTTTTGAACACTTGTTCGACCGACAACTCGATACTTTTCTGGGCCATCATGAGAAACTAAATAATAATATGGTTCCAATGGATTTGATGGAGAATATATTTTTTTTGACTTTTTTTCTCGTTGACTACGATCAAATAACATTTTCGTTGATTATATACAAATACATACTAGAATATTTATCTAAAACAGAAAAAAAATTAGATACATTATTTGGGTAATTAGTCGTGTTCATTATATGTAGAAACAGGTGTAACAAGAATACATTCAGTCATGTCAAATACAATACAATGTTTCAATATGCAATCAGTAACAATAATTGTTTTTTTACAAGGGCAATTTTCTAAAACAAAAAAAAACCTATCTAAAGGTTCTTTCAATAAATGATAATATTTCGACTCTTCAAAATAATCACTATACTTTTGCTTTACGCGATACATGTTAACAACAGCATATGATTTTTCTTTGGATTTTAAAGAAAAAAAATACTCAATGGTTCCAAAGTTATAATAACATTCATCATATGAATACTGGATGAAATAACTTATGGAGTTACCACGTTTCTTGTAGATCAATGAATGAAACATTTGTTGTTTAATAACAAAACGACGATAAATACTAAAGCATTTATATAGTTGTCCACAATCGCATAATTCAGTATGAAAATTATCATATTGATCAAGAGATTCATTTAATGGATCAAATGCTTCATTCACTGTTGTTGTTCTTGTCGATTTATTATGTAAAGAAAAATCGATATTATAGTAATAAGCAATTGATTCACCATAATATCTAGTACCATGATGATTGGACCCAACAGATCCAATGAGATCTTCTTGACCAAAGCATCCGATATTTGATAAAGCACCATGATTTTGGTACATTGTTGCAAAATGCGTGTGTAAATGCAAGACCAGATTCTGAAGGCCATAATAATGTTCATCATGATCACGGTAAAATTGTTGAAATAATTCATCAGCAAGCTTGCCTGTTTCTAATCCAACTATTGATGGACCATGTAATAAACGAGTAAAGCAAACAAATAATGCTAGATGAGATAATTTTTCAATGGACAGATATAAATGAAAAATTGGTAAAACGCCATAAAATAACATATTTTTTAATTCAGTTGCTTTTACGAAACCAAAATTACTTATTGCTTTCATTTTTCGATTAAAATAATGTGGAAAATTTTGTTTTGTTAGTCGACTATCGACTTCTAAACGTTTAATCGGCTTCAAACTGTAAAATATATTTGATATAAGAGATTTTGCATGTCCTAATAGTGTTACATGAAGATAATCAATTATCACTGCATCAGGTAATGGTATATCAAGAATTGACGTTAAAATACTTACACCTAGATGTCCATATACATTCATTTGTTTATCTTGAGCAAGATAGGATTCTTCTTCATAAGCAGCTGGATCACGCATAATCATTGGTAATTCAAATTTGTATTGGCGTTTGCCAGCTATATGTTCACCACGAATATAACAGAACCAACAACAAAAGTAACCGCCATGACCGATAAAATCTAAAATAAGTTTCAATGCCGGACAATCACCAGTGATGGCATAAATTTTCAATTTATAATTTAATTTTTCATTAATTACAATATCTAAAATTTAGGAAAAAAATTGCACACAATTTAGTCTGAATAATAACAGTGATGAACAAAGAATTGCCCAAACGAGCACACAGAAGAATCATTTTGTCTTGGTCTCGTTCTTAGTGCGATCCCTGATTTTTGTTACCTAACGATAAGCTTAAAAGTATAAAGTCAAAATGGTAAAAAAATCAAAAATATTCATAAAAAAAAGCTCTTGACTCCATGGAAATAACTGAAGTCAAAGGGAATTGAATTTCATTTACGGTAAACGGAGTTTGGAAAAGAAGTCATTCGGAAAAAAGGTGAAATGATATAGTTTATTTATTAAATTTAGACATTCGTTAGGCGGAAAGTCGAATCTAAGCGTAAAATAATAGAAGAACAGAAACGTTTATCAAATATTCTCTATTGCCAAAATATTATCACCTTAAAGTAAAGAGATAAATACCTTGTAATTTCACAGATTGAATTTGTGAAATAATTGATTTGAGCCATATACGTGGTTCTGGTTCTGGTTCTGCATATGCAACCCAAATCGACATTAACATCATATTGTAACGATGATATCGAATAGTAGACGGCAACTCAACAAAAGAAGCACTGAATAACCACATTTTAAGACGAGTTGAACGGGTAAGGCTAACGCCATCTAAATGAAGTATGAAGCTAATAATATTTTCTGAAGAATGTTTTTTTAATAATTCTTTATATAAATGTCTGTATGGAATATCTTTTGTTCCTTGTTCATCAAAATCATTATTGATTTGTTGTTTATATTCTTCTATAATTGGTGATAAACGTTTAACTAATGTTGTTAAAACATCTTTCAAGTTAACATCATAAATATCAGCTATTGTTTTTTCATCAAAACATTTACAAGTCGAACATTTTTTTTGTTTATATTTTAAATATTGTTTACATATTAAACAAATAGATCGCCTAGAAAATAAATTGTCGACATTCATAAATGATAAAAGATCATCCATTGTAGAAGGAAGATGATTTGGTATAGGTAAAATCGATTTAATCAATGTAACAAGACGTGTTGAATGTGACTTGGAAATATCTCCATCTCGTAATAAATGCAATAGATCAGTACAATAAGATTTACTTGAAACATCTGTATACTCGTGTAAACATACCTCTTCAATGATTGATTCATTATCATCTTCATAACATGTTGAGTAATTGCTAACATTATCAATATAAAAATCATTATTACTTGCATTATATTCAAAATTAATCACATGATCTTCAGCACTAGAAATGATACAGTTATCTTTATTCACTATTGCATTATAATCATCATGTAAACCATTATCATTATAATCATTTTCTTCATTTGCAATTAATTGTACTTGTTGTTGAAGATCATGTAATTGAGAATAATGACAAAATTCTTCTGTTAATTGACATTTGGGTAAATGCAATGAATTTTCTGTTTGTTGAGCGAGATTAGTTCGAGCACGAGCGTTTTCATTATTTTTTTTATATCTTTTACGTCGTTGTTCTTGGTCATAACAAATAGCATTTTCCAAATCGATGTTCATAAATGAAATCTAAAAATCACAAAAACGATAATCTAATGTTTTATCACAAATAATTTCATATTCTTTTTATAGAAGTTACAGACAAACGGCATGAACAGAATATACGTAATATAATAAATTGGAGAGAAAAAAAGCAGTAATAGCCAATAGTGGCAAGATAAAGACTCTCAGCACATTCACTATCATTTTCCATTCGAAACAAGCACAAAATTAGTCAGTATCACATTAGAATAAATAGGCTAGTCAGTATAGCGAAAAAAATGAGCATTCACTAAAGACACGTCTATTTTATAGACGTGTTATTCTTCATCGGTCGACGTTCATTGTTTGAATAGTCGACGAAGAGAATTATAATTTAAAAAATATTGCGGATGTTTTATTTTAGTTAAATAAGAATTTCTGTAATTCGAAAAGGTTCTATCAACTTTTCTTCTCTTTTAAATGTGTAATAGGTGTCGCTAGAATCCATAGAGTGACATCTCTTCATGGTACAGCTAGTTTAATGCTTTTAAATCAATTATATATATATATAAAGTATAGGGGCGATCAATTTACATTTACGAAAATTTAATAAATCCAAAAATAAATTTTAATAAATTTAAATATAAAATAAATTTAAATTTTTTTCCAGATATGAAAATTTAAATTTATTTTAAATATAAAGTTTGAGAAGTTAAATTTATTCTATGTTTAAACCTTGTACATATAAATTTATTTTAAACTTAAATTGGATTTACATAAATTTAAGTGTTCTAAAATTATTTAAATTTACTTAAATTTTTTAAATTTATTTAAATCCAGTTTAAATCAATATGAATTCAATTTAAACCAAATAAAATTCAATTTAAATTCATTTTGTTGGATTTCAATAAATTCAAAAATTTAAATAAATCCTAATAGTTTAA